ACCGGCCTTCTTCGGGAAGAGCAGCAACTTGGACATGTAGAGCTTCAGGCGCTCGACGTTGGCCTGGAGGCTCTCTGTGCATCGATTCCTGCGGCGGTGGTCGATGGCAATGCCGATGGTCTTCGCGTACTTCTTGGGGATCTTGGCCTCCCATGCATGCATTTGAATATCAAGCCACAGCAGGGTATTCTTAACTAGATCGGCATTCTGGGGTATGTGATCAAACTGTCATTCTGGCAAGGAGCCCGAAGATGAATAACAGATTTCCTACCTTCCGACCACAATGTTTTACCCACATTTTCCGCCCGAAGCGCACTCGCGGCAATGAGCCCAAAAAACTGATCCGAAAACCCCCACCAAACCCCATCTCCAAGATCCAAACCCTAAAACTGGCCCTAAACCCTAAACCCTAAACCCCAAACCCCAAAAACCCACAGACCCCAAAATTCAAAAGCCTGAAGGCATGATCCCTTGGCCTCCTTGAGCTCGTCCAGGGTGAAGCCCTTGCCCAGGCGCAGCTTCATGTTGTAGCCTGGAGTCTACTTGGAGGGTCGGGGGACTTAGTAAGTAGTTCTTTTTATAGAGTTACAAGTACCATAACCCCAAGTAGGGCATTTATAACTCTACTTCTTACCTACTTACTAAGTCCTCCGACTCTCCCAGTAGTGGGCTATCCTTTTAAGGGTATCATAGGGTTTCCTGTAAGAGATCCTTTAAGGGGTTTCGGGTTTGGGGTTTAGGGCTTAGGGTTTAAGGGTTTGGGGCTGCAGCAAGATTAGGTTTAGTGCTCTGGGTTTCTTTTGGCATCAGTGCTTTAGGCTCGTTTTTGCTTCATGCCCGACGCTCGGAAAAATCCAAACCTCGCATGTTGGAACAGTCCCGTCCCAGCAACGCTGCGTAGGCGGATGCACCACTGGGCGGAGCCTCTGGTTGGAGGGGATTTGGGCATTTTGGGGGTGTCTTGGAGAGCGTGGGGTTTAGTTCGGAGTTTAAGGTTTAGGGTTTAGGGTTTAGGGTTTAGGGTTTAGGGTTTAGGAGGCTTGTGATTTAGGGTCTGGGGCATAGGGCTTGCTGGATTGCGAGCGGCACTGCGCAGTTTCTAGAACGCCCCCATGAAACCCCTCACAAACAACTCAGGCCCTCAGCCCTAAACCCTGATCCCCAAAGTTTGGGACTGAGGAATATAAAAGCTAGGGCTTTAGGATATAAAAGCTAGGGCTTTAGGATATAAAAGCTAGGGCTTTAGGAAAGGTTGAGTGTTCTACACCACGAACCCTCAAACTGGTGCGTTCCCGCGGCAGGCCGGCCGCAGGCCGAGGGAAGACCTTTGCCGCCTTCGCCTGCACAGCCGGGAACCCTGAAAAGTAGCCGGCACTCAGTGTTCGGGGCTTCAGGGTTTCAGGGTTGAGGGTTAGGGTTCAGGGTTTTGGGTTAAGCAAGTTTTACGAATTACCAGGCCTGGGTTCGACAAAGTTAAACTGGAGACCAAAATGCAAAACACGCACCCAGCAGATGCATGAGCTGGAGAGACCTCTCCCGTTGTACGTGTGTTAGGTGCGTTTTGCAAAACCTATGCTCAGAAACCCTAAACCCTAAACCCAAAGATCTCGTGGCATTCAGGGATGATTCAGGGATTACAGCATAGGACGGCGGGTTTCCTTAATGCTCTGAGGCTTGGGCTTCCACAGTTCCAGCTTGATTTTGCTCGGGTCTTGCTAAGGAACCTCATATCAGCTAGCAGACTACAGACTTATTGCAAGTGTAGGGTTTAGGGTGTTGGGTTTAGGGTTTGCTTCCATGGAGTCCCATATCTGCTTGGGGCTTGGGGTGGAGAGTCTGGGGGGTTCAGGCGGAGTTGCGGACTATGGGTTTGGAGGTCCGAGGCTTTAGGATTGTTCGACGGTTCGGGATGATCTTGTCTAGAGTGGCTCGTTCCAGGGATTGGGTTTTACAAGCTTTGGGCCTGGTTTCAAGACATACGCTGCATGCAAACCACAATCCCAAATCTAAATTCCCGAAACCATGACCTTGCACCCGAAGCCCGCACGTTCAAACGCCGGCTCAGTAAGTTCGCGGTTAAGAATGTCAATACTGCCGACAAAACAAGTTCTAGCGGCAATGCAAACACTTGCGGTCATGGTTCAGATTTTGAAGGTGGTACTGACCCCCATGATCACCATCATGATCATCGTCTTCATGGCACCGACAACAGGAAGAAAGGCAAAAATACTGTAGCACTCCTGGCTAACTACCTCCTGCATCGTCATCATCAACACCACCATCACAAGCGTAGCATCCTACATTACAGGCCCTGAACCCTTAACCCATGAAGCCCTAAACTTGTAAGATCCAAAGCAAAACTCTTAGTCCTTCAAGCTTCCTCGAGCTTCGAGTCTGAACTGCAAGTCCTTCCAAGTAAGAAACTACTCTAACACCGTCAATATCATGCCTGAACCCCAAAGACCTCTGTTTGCTATGAGCCCGACGCGAAAACCCGAACATAAACACCAAAACATCAACGCCTAAACCCTACAAGTAAACCCTGACTCCAAAACCCAACACCCAAAACCTGCACCGTGAAACCCGAACACTGCTCTGCGAGTGCACCCCCGACCTTGCGGGCGTTGGAGCGACGCTTCTTACGGCCGGCCTGCGCTGAAAATTGTGTGCGGGCTCAGGGTTCAGGGGGTTTAGGTTATGGGCTGTTGGGCTCAGGGTTTAGGGTTGGCAACAGGAGGTGTGCGGTGTGCGGTTGTGGCAAACAAACAGACAACACGAGGCAAGGTTCAGGAGTTAGGGTTTTAAGGGCATCGGCTTTATGTTTACATATATATACATATATATATACATACATACATACATACATACATACATACATACATACATGCGTACTTACTTACTGACTTACTTGCATACTTACTTACTTACTTACTTACTTACTTACTTACTTACTTACTTGCTTGCTTACTTACTTACTTACTTGCTTGCTTACTTGCTTGCTTGCTTGCTTGCTTACTTACTTACTTACCTACCTACCTACTTACTTACTCACTCACTCACTCACTCACTTACTTACTTACTTACTTACTTACTTACTTACTTACTTACTTACTTACTTACTTACTTATATATATATATATGTAGGGTTCACCCTGTCGGATTCGCAGATAAGACGTAGTACCCTCCGATTTGTGAGCCAGGAGCTCCGGAGATGCCTTCAATTCAAGTAAGACCTTAACCTACAATTAAGGATCTCGGGTTTAGGGTTTAGGAGTTTAGGGCTTTAGGGGTTTAGGGTTTAGGGTTTAGGGTTAAGGATCTCGGGTTTAGGGCTTAGGAGTTTAGGGCTTTAGGGGTTTAGGGTTTAGGGTTTAGGGTTTAGGGTTAAGGATCTCGGGTTTAGGGTTAAGGATTTTTCGGGCTCTAGGGCTTTCTCCGCAACAGGAACGGAGCCCTCCTGAAGGGCATACACTCGACCCTAAACCTTAAACCCGAAACCCTAAAACCGTAGGTTTCACCGACTGGATTCAGCAAGTGCATACTCGGTTTAGGGCTCAGGGTTCAGGGATGAGGGTTTGGGGCTGAGGGTTGAAGGCGCAAACTGGCAAGCTGTATAAAGGCACTGCGAGCCTGCATACAAAATAGTCCTAGGCTACCTTACCACCCAGAGGCGAATACTATAGGGGCCTTAGAGATTGGAATAGTGTGCTGGTGTATAGTGTAGTATAGTATACTATACTATACCATACTATAGCATAGCATAATATAGTATAGTTTAGTTTAGTATAAGATAGCATAATATAGTATAGTTTTGTATATATACTAATAAATATGGCAAGTCCGACTTGTAAAGTGCTCTGGATTCCAGAGGCGAAGAATCTTCAAGCTCCCAGAACCCAAGCCCCAAAAAGCATCAAGTTGAGGATTTCGCTCGTTGGGCTTAGGGTTAAGGGTTTAGGGTTTTAGGGTTTAGGGTTTGGGGTTTGGGGCTTGCGGTTTGGGGTTTAGGGTTTAGGGTTTAGGGTTTAGGGTCTCGGGTTCGTGCTTCAGGCTTGCAGCTTTGACCTCCTGGTTGCGTTTGCCCTCACCGCTTGTGAATCGATAGGGCTTCGGGGTTCGAGCCACAGGACCCTTGATAGATCAAGAACATGGAAATCAACTGTAACCCTAAACTCCAAAGCCTAAACCCTATAACCCCTAGTCCCTAAACCCCAAGCCCTAAACCCTAAACCCTAAACTGACCCTAAACCCTGAACCCCAAACCCTAAGCCCTGGACAGAAACTGTTCGCCACCACCTCAGTCTGAACCCGACACTCCGAAACTCACCATAGCCTCATCCGGACCCCAAATGAATAGTTCTCTAAATTAGGGTCCCTTTTAGGGTCCTTTTAGGGTTCCTTAAAGGGATCCAGAAGGGTTTCTATAAGGATACTATAAGGGTACTTCTCTTTATATTAGGGTCCCTTTTTTAGGTCCCCAATGGAGTACGGCACCCTTATAAACAGGACCTCCAAAGGGACCCTAATTTAGAGGACTACCCAAATGAATATCTTCGGATCCCCCAATCCTACACGGCTGCGGATCGATTCTTCAGGTTGTAGAAATCCAGCCTCAGCTCTGGGTTTAGGGTCTAAGGGCGTCGGGTTTAGGCTTTGGGGCTCAGGGTTTCCAGCTTCAGCTTTGGTTTTTGCCGGGTTGAGGAGAATCAGGCCTGGTCGAGCCAGGTGCGCATGAAGACCCGGTTCTTGCGACCACTCTGGCAGCCATTGATCTTAGTTGCAGCACACAGTGGACGGTTTAGGGTTTAGGGTTTAGGGTTTAGGGTTTGTCAGCAGTGGTGGTAGCACCGCTCCTACTCATACTAGCCAGCGGTGTGTCACTTGCAGAAGCTGAAAACAACACCACGAACAACAGTATCAGTAGCCATGGTGCAACTATCACCGCTATCATCATGGTGTGTGCAAGCAGATGAATAACAAGTATTGTATCACACGCATACCGCGATTCTAAAGATCGACACAATCCGCGGTGCAAAACAAACCAACAGCCAGAAAACCTAAACTCTAAACCCTAAACCCTGATCCCTAAACCCTAAACCCTAAACCCTAAAACACTCAGAACTCAGCCACCAAAGCCCTCGACTCCCTTCCCGAAACCCCCCCGGGGCAGAATGCCAGCAGAAAGGTAAGGCGTTCTTAAAAGGTGCCCTGAGTTGGGACGGCTCCTGGCTTCAATCCGGCTTCGGCCTCAGGATGCTGCTCTAAGACATTGAGGGTTTATAGGGTTTAGGGTATAGGGGGCTTAGGCTTTATATCTTATGCTTCGTCGTGTTCCGGATGAGACAACCATCTTCTTCTTACCCGCAAGCCCTAAAACCCCTAAATCCGCACTCTTGAAGCTCATGCCTTGCACAAGTTGAACCGTCAGAACTATAGCAGCCGTCCAAGCTGATCCCAAGTGGTCAACGCGAGTTTCCAGCGGTCTAGGCTTTAGAACACCCCAAACTCTAAACCCTAGACCCTAGACCCTTAACCGACAAATGGAGCAAGAAAGGGTAGGAGAAGGCCGCGATAACAAAACCCAAGAACCCGGGACCCGAACTTGCAAAGCCTGCTACGAATATCTGAGTCGGATGCCTTTCGGAAGTGCACATTTGGGATGATATTGTTGCCTTCAAGCATCCAGCTTCGAAAGGCTGCGGCTTCAGGGTTCGGACGTGGTGTAGCCTTGTTGGGGATTCCAGGATCAAGAAGGGCCAGTAATGTAGAACAAGAATAGGGTTTGGGGTATAGTATGGTATGTTTATGGCAAGGTACCCTATTGAATATTACTATTCACCGTTCAGCCGCCAATAATGCAACTGATTGCTTTGCTCCTGTTGAGCTGCACAAGCATGCAGTCTCAACACCTCTGCAAAGCCGAAAGCGATACTCAACATCAGAACGGCAATTAGTAAATTGTAAGCGTATGACGGCCATCACTACCGGCTGTCGCCATTGCTCTTTCTGTGGGATTCGCCGCTATCACTGCTATTGCGCAACATTGCGATGATGCAACACAGCTAGGAGTCTACAAGGCAATGAAAGTCACCTTGATGACGGTCGAGTGCAAAATCTTGAACCCCACACCCTAAACCAAAACCCTGAACCCTCAACCCTCTGAGCTCTGAACCTGGAATCCGGAACCCTGGATCGATAAACATATTTCTTGAGCAGTAAGTACGGCTATAAGTAAGGTAACCTTACGTATGACTACCAAAAACCACAATTGAGGCCCAAACCCTCGGCTCTACTAGTCCCCCTAAGTACAGCGTAAACCCCAAAAAAAGAGCCCCCAATGGACCTTAGTAGTTTGAGGACCACCTCCAAAAATCCTCCCCACAAGAGCTCAGAGACGAACCTCCCGGCTCTTGGGCCAAGGGTAGAGGGGTTTAGGGTTTAGGGTTTAGGGTTTAGGGTTTAGGGTTTAGGGTTTAGGGTCCCACCTCCGTGGCCCATGGTTGCTGGGAAAGGGAAATGCCGAAAGCAGCTTGAGCCTCCTCCCTACATGACCCACCGGAAGGTTCAGGCTTCGAAGTTCGAGATTCAGGGTTCAAGGCGTGGGATCTAGAGTTAAGGCTTTAAGTTTAGGTTGAACCGTGTACCCTTTTTTCGTCGGACGCTGAAGAGAAAATGCGATAATTGTCAAAGCAATGCCAGTGGAGGCAAAACTAGCACCGGCAGCGGCTGCTGCAAAAATCGTTCTAGTATCACCTGCAATTCTCCTTTGCCATCATCAACTTCATCGGTTTGTTTTCTTCAACATCCCCATCACCGCCTGCGTGACCAACCCCTGACCATAGTCACACTGACAATCAAAACAAAAACGATCACAATATTCATCATGGAATCGGTTCGACATTTTTCTTGACAGCACCAAAAACCTAGCAACTGGCAGAAATGCTCATGATTGTCAACTGTCTTCTCGGCTTGATTGCGACCCTGACAGCGATAGCAGCAGGAGCCAGCAGAGGTAGGCGGAAGGGGAGGAGGAGGAGGAGGCGGAGGCGGAAGGACCAGAAATAGTACCAGCAGTAGCAGGAGAAGCAGCACCAGAAGTAGCACAAATTGGTAGCATTGTCCAAGGATGTTTGGAGCAATTCTTTGAGACTGGGCATCGCACTCATGCATAGTTCCAGAGCTCTTCCACTAGGCCGTTGCACTGGGGCATGTCGCAGTCTGCAGCCCAAGATGTGCCAGGCTGACTGTCCGATCCACGTCTGAAGAGCATTCAGACGGGAGCCCCCTCCGTTCTGAGGGATACGGCAATCTGAAACTGGACCCAGTCGGTGGTCACTTCCGGGCAAAGGACAAAAAACAAATGCAAGGGCAGCTCACCGCCGTTCCAGAACGGGACACCTCATTATCCGTCAGCCGCCAGGTGGGCCTACAGCGCTTGTTTGTCGGAAGGGCACAACACTCCTTGGAGCCTTGGAGCGCAACCGAAACTACTTACTACGACATCAAGGACCGAGAGACGAGGCCGGACTGGTTGGAAACCAAGGTTCAGAAGCTCACACAGCTGGTGCTTCGACAGGAGCAAACTTTGGCGTCGATCAAATCTGCGAACAGAACTAAAGATGCACTCTCTACATGCACCCGAAAAGTGGCTTTGTGATTATGCTTCCTGCTGCTTGAAAGTGGTTCTCTTGCTCGAGCCTGCTCCTGGGGTAGTAGGAAAAGGCTAGAAGAGTCGTGATGGACAAGGAATTGCCTGTGATGCTGAATGATGATGATGATGATGGTGATGGTGATGATGATGGTGATGATGATGATGCTGATGATGACGAAGCCCCTGGGCCCGAGACTTTTGTGAGAGTTGCTTCTTAGGAAGGCCTGCTTCCCAGCACATGAGCGATGGTGGAAACTCTGAAGGCCTCCGCACGCCAAGTACGGAAAGGACCCCTCGTGATCATGATCGTCATGGGGCTCCTACAGCTGCAGAGGCCTCTAGAAGGAAGGGTCCACCTCCGCCACCTGGAGCCAGCCCTGACCGCACTGACCGGGACACACCGCCTGCCGACTCAGCTGCTCAGGACAGTCGACCAGACAATGCAGAAGCCAAGCCCAAGCCTGCAGCCGGCGAAAACAGCTCTACTTCCTCTGAGGGCGACGGAAACTCAGAGGCCTCCTACACATGGTCAGAAACCAGTCTGGTCTTGGATGGCGAAGAGCTGGGCTCAGCAGTGGAACGGCTGCACACTATATACCGCAACGAGCTGCAGACACGGTGTATACCGACCAAATCCCAGGCAGGGTGCCTGGGAGGACTCAGGAGACGGACAAATGGAGCCAACTGGCTACAGGTGCAAAGCGAAGCGAGGCAGAGACTCACGGGGGACCGTCTGCGAGAATGGCAGATCTACGAGCACGAGAAGACACATGAGAGGCGCCGACGAAGGAGGACGAGATCCCCCCGGCGTGCAGAATGAGCACTGGACTCCCTACAGGCCTCGTAGCCTGCGTGCAGTCTGGTTTCAGAAGCCCTGCCACCTCCACCCCTATGCCTTCCCTAAGACTCCCAAGCACCATAATAAGCACAGGTGCCTGCTGCCATCAAGCCAGCCCAGCCGGCCCGCGGCGGCCAAAGTCAGACCAGGACACTTCAGACCCTTTACCTCCTCAGGTTTAGATCCCACTCCCCCCTGGGTCCAGACTAGAACAGATAGCAAGGTTGATGGCCAAAGCAAAAACTCCACACAAGTGGGCCTCTCCGGTCCCAAATCCGGAGGCTGTAGAACCCTTAGACCTCTAAGAGCTCTCATAATAGCTACAGCTGGGGCGAGGGTTTCCTCCGCTGCAGCCGTCACGGAGGATGGACCCAGACATCGTCTGGGGAAGCACCACGGCACAGCGCAACAAGGCAGGGAACTCCCAAATCCGACTCGGCATATGAAGCGAGCTTTCAATAGAGCATGCAAGAGAGCGAATCAGTCGATCGAGGCTGGAACCTGGTACAGGAACAGATGGCACACAAGTGCTACCCTCGATGCCCTCCGTAACCAGACTCCTGCCCAGCCCTCAAGACCGCTCAGGACGGCTGCACGAAGACAGCGACGCCCCACAAGGCCCGAGCTTTCCTTCAGGATTCTGACTTGGAACGCGGGGGGTCTCTCTGCCGCTCTTACACAGGAGCTGATGGCATGGTGCGACACACAAGAAGCCACTAGCCAGTATGACTGCATCATCATTACTGAAACACATTGGAAACAAGTTGATGACTATCGTAGTGGCCAGTGGCTTTGTGTACACAGCACAGGTTACATAGAGGGTCAAGAACCTGATCGTTTTGCTGGCATCCTCTGCTTACTCTCCAGTCGAAGCTTTGCAGAGCCAAGAGTGAAGGAGCATGTTAGTGGCAGGCTACTGCAGGTGACGGCCACCCACATCAAGAGCCAAATGCCCACCAGCATTCTTGGGCTGTACCAGCATGTCTGGAGGCCGCACTTCAGCACAGCCAAAAACCGTGCATTGCGAAGCCACATTTGGCAACGCCTACAAGACATCATCACATCCACCCCTGCCCGCCATCAGCTTGTAATAGCCGGCGATTTTAACTCCACCCTCAATTCCCTTCATCCTCACATTGGCCCCGCTGTCCCTAAACTTAATACCCATTCCAATCTTGACCAAGACCTGCAAACCCTAATCCAGGAATGTGACCTCTGTGCGATAAACACCTGGCACGCTCGCCCCATGCACACCTTCACTTCGCCCAGCACCAAAAGCCAGCTTGACTATGTGCTGCTCCGCACCAATGCTGCAAATCATGGTGCCAAACAAGCCCAGCCGATGCATAATTTCCCGATCGGTGCATACCGACAAACCAACCACCACCCGGTGCAGGCCACCATTCGCATGCTGCCCATGGCCTACAGAGCACCGAAGGCCAGCAGGCACACCGATTCGCTGCAGCTGCTTTACAATCTGCAGTAGCACAGAACTCAGACTCGGCCAAGGCACTGTCGAGGGCAGTCGCAGAGCGGCTGCTTGCGCTGCCCCAGGCACAGGCACTCAGCGCAGAGCATGATCTGGTGAACACAATTCTGCTTGAAGAGACATGTAAAGCTTTCCCACCCACCTCCCGAGTGGACAACCGAGTGAGCGCACAGCCGGAGTACAGAGCTTCAGCCAGAGGCACGTGGCAACTGCACCGCCAGCTGCAGAGATCAGGCCTGCCCTCCCTTCGCAACATTTGGTCTCGCTGGAGGGTCTTTGCACAGTTCATGCGAGCCTCGGCCATGCTTCGCCGGCAAAGCCGAGACCTCAAGCGACAGTTCCTGACAGACCAACTGCAACAGGCCGAGTCTGCAGCCTGCAAAGGCAACCATAGAGACCTCTTCCTGATCGCCAGACGGCTTGGGCCTAAACCTGCACAGGGTGTCTCTAGATTACAGGGCCCTGATGGCCAGGTGCTGGACAGCAGAGCCGAAATGGCTGCCATCATCAAGCACAGCTCAGAAGCTTTTGCATCCACCCCAGACACCACTCGTCTGCTGCCCTTAGAGGGGAACTTCACCTTCGCAGCATCTGAATTGCAGGCTGCGCTGGCCACCCTCAACATCCGGAAGGCTGTGCCTAGGCACATAGCCCCAAATGCAGTGTGGAAGCTCTGTGCCACCTCAATAAGTGATCGACTAGGCCCCTGCTTCGAGCGCCATTTCCGACCGGAGTCGACTGATGTGCTGGAGGGAGACATGAAGGACGCCCACATATGTTGGCTCAACAAGCCCTCGAAACCACCCACCACCATGAGTGCAAAACGACCCATAGGCCTCATGCCCCCCTGCGCCAAGTCTCTTGCAGGAGCAGTTGCCAAGCAGATCCTAGAACACCTCAGACCCATGCTTGATCACATGCCACAGTTTGCTTACTGCGCAGAAAGAGGAGTGAATGATGCCATCCTTAAGGTGCACTCTTATTTCAACGAAATCGAGAGCCTGCAAAAAGGTCAGATACAAAATCGTTTCAAGATGCATCAGAGTGTTAAACAGTTCGCCTGCCATGGCGGAGCCTGTTTGTCACTTGACCTCAGCAGTGCCTTCGACAGTGTCAGCAGAGACCTCCTCATACAATCATTACTCAACCATAACATACCACACGACCTCATCAACATTGTGCAACAACTACACCGCGACGCTAAGTACATCTTTCAAACTGACAATGCCCAAGGGCAAGTTACCACTAGTAACGGGATTAAACAAGGATGCAGAGCTGCCCCGACACTGTGGATTAGCTTCACCCTTTCCATCCTCGAACATCTAGCCCAGTACAGAAGCTTGAGCTGGGTCCAGAAGATTCTTACGCTTTTCGCTGACGACTTCTGTGGCCATTGGACCATCACCAACCTGCAGGACTGGAAAGCAGTGGTATCCGACCTGACTCTCTTAATGGAGACGCTTGCCACCTACAATCTTAAGGTGAACTTGCAGAAAACAGCCTTGCTCATCAACTTGAAAGGTCGGTCTGCCAAGAGGGTGCTGAGACAGCACACCAGGCACAAGGCCGGGGACACTTTTCTAGTCTTGGTTGTTCATGGTAAAGAATGTCTCCTCAAAATTAAGGAGTCCCACACCTACCTCGGTACCATCATTTCATATCGCAACAGGCGGGACCTGAACGTAGGACACCGTATCAGTGCGGCGCAAACCAGATACCAGCAACTTAGGAAGATCCTTAATGGCAGGGGACCACTCTCCATCAAGTACCGACTTCGCCTTTGGCAGGCGTGCATCCCACCAAGCCTCACCTACTCTCTGGAGGCCACAGGTTGCACCAGCAAGGGTCTGCAGCGTATCAAAATAGTAGCCACCAGGCACCTGCGAGCGATTTTGCGAGAGCCTGCCCATCTACACCACGTTAAGACCTCAGACATCTGGGAGCGTGCCAAGCTGCTCACACCGGAGCAATCCATCCTTGCCAGGATGACCAAATTTCGGGCCAACCGGAACCCGGCACATTCTCCCCATGGTCCTGACCTCATCATGAATGCTCAAGTTGAGGAGCAAATTTCCAGTCTGATTGCGGGAATGCAGGAAGCCATGCAGCCGCTGGAACACCAAGACCTCACTCCGCCGGAGGAGGCCCAACCCACCCCCAACACCGGCTTCGCGTGTGCACACTGTGATCTTGTGCTACCGACGGCACACGCCAGGTTGATCCACTATGCCATCAAGCATCCTGAGGCCACGCCCACCGAGGCTCCGCGACCACTGATTATTTTCCATGCACCGGACCATGCCATCAACGGCCTTCCTACTTGCAAGCTGTGCCATCGGAATTTCACCAAATGGCAACAACTTAAGCTACACATCGAGAAAGGCTCGTGCATTGGTTTAGGGGGGGATAGTATGAAGCTTAGCCCGCCGACAGAGGACAACCAAGCTATGCGGAATCCGGTGCCAGAGCCGGCAGCCAAAATTGTGACTGCCAGGGCCTACGAAGGTCCAGAATCCCAAGCGCTGGCAGAGCAAAATGCACAGCCTATCATTACAGATCCGAGCTTCTTGAGCAAGCTTGACTCCTGGGATCAGCACTTGAACTGTCGCCGCATGAGAGCCAGACTTCAGAGCAGGTGTGTAGTCTGTGGCATGTGGATAGCCGATGGTAAGCACATCAAACAACACTACAACAGAACTCACCATCACGATTTCCCATCTGCACTAGAGCAAGCGCAGCAGCTCTGCCTGACATTCAACCCGTGGACGAAGCTGTCGATACTGCGGCTCCAAGGTGGGAGCACCCTGTCGACACGTCATTCAGTGTACCGTTCTGCACCAGCTCTGCCTCGCAGTCTGCCTCTGCAAACCGGGGGCAACCTGTCAGGACACCTCCGATGGGAGACCTCGAGACGGAGATCTTCGAACATTGCATGCCCTCTGGGGCAGCGGAGGCCGGGACAGAGCATGCCAACAAAAGAGCCAGACCGGACATCAGGCAGGCGAATGGACGCAGGGGACGACCACCTTACAACGCTCCCCTCGGGCAGTCGCCATGGAGGCAACAGCCGGGTTACCAGACGCCAGCTCAGGACTCCCAGATGCGCCTCCTCAGCAAGATTGTCCTGAAGCACGAGGAGCAGTTGGCAGCACTACGGAAGGACACCCAGTTTGTCCTCTTCTTCCGGCAGGACGACAAGTCGATCCTGCCCTCCCTCATGAATGTCTCTCGCGAGTGGAAAGCCAAGCAGGCAGCGGGAGATCAATCCATTCAATCCTCCCAGCGAACAGTCTTGATCAGCTGCCTGCTGCGCGAACTTCTGGCCAGGGTTCAACGAGTGGTGGC